AATACCAGATCTTTCTTTGGTAATTTGGTCTAATGGATATTCTAGTATAAGAACCATATGTGGATATCAAAGAGTTATATCCTTGGCGTTCACTCGTGGGAGTTCTCCTCATTTATCTGGCAAGAGAAAGTTTTATTTTATTTTATTTTATTTATTTATTTATTTATTTATTCCCCCTCCCCACACACACACACCAATATGTTGGGCCTGTTGGCTATATTGCTTACCATGATTTCTTGAATTATATAAATGTTTGTGGTTTTGTTAATGATTTTTGACTGTCGGGAACTTAAAATAACTTTCTTTTTTTCAGTGTAAATCGCTGTAAGCGCAGTTTGGCTGAGATTGCGGTTAAAGCGGTTTTGGCTGTTGCAGACTTGGAGCGGAAGGATGTTAATCTTGATCTAATTAAAGTGGAGGGGAAAGTGGGAGGTAAACTTGAAGATACTGAACTCATCTATGGTATTGTTGTGGACAAGGACATGAGCCACCCTCAAATGCCAAAAAAAATTGAAGATGCTAATATAGCAATTTTAACTTGCCCCTTTGAGCCACCAAAGCCAAAAACCAAGCATAAGGTTGAGATTGACACTGTGGAGAAGTTTGAGACATTACGCAAACAAGAGCAACATTACTTTGACGAAATGGTTCAAAAGTGCAAGGTGAATTTTGAGACATCGTATATATGTTTGATAATTTTGCTTTTTCTTTGAATAGTATGTGTATCCCAACCCACTTTTGGGTTGGGATGTGCAGGAAGCCGAGTGCTTGTATGCATGGTTGTGATTTCTAAGGGTTACTATTGCTGGTTTTTGTTTCTTTTTAAGTATATCTTTTTCTGGTTCAGTCTTTTGGTTCTATGTTCTGATACAAAGTCCTCTGTTAAGTGAATTGTGACTTGAGCACTTGACCAGCATGTCCATGCCTTTTTCTGTTTGATGACTAAGATGCTTAGAGTCTGAAGGGAGCATGTTATGTTTTCAAGGCGGTGCACTTTTGTAATACATATCTCTCATTTGGCGGGTTTGTGAATTGCAGGATGTTGGTGCAACTTTGGTTATCTGTCAATGGGGTTTCGATGATGAAGCAAACCATTTGTTGATGCATAGGAATTTGCCTGCTGTCAGATGGGTTGGTGGTGTTGAGCTGGAGCTTATTGCAATTGCCACAGGTGTGTGATTTTGCCTTTTCTTGCTCTAGAGTATGGCTTTAATTTTTGTTTAGTTGGAGTGTACTTACTTGGAAATTCTATGTTTTTTCAGGTGGAAGAATTGTCCCAAGATTTCAAGAATTGACTCCTGAAAAGCTGGGACGGGTACGAATGCCCCTTTTGCTAGAGCTTCTTGAATAATTGTTTGAACTGTGATGTTTAATGTCTTTTCAAAGTTAGCATGCGTCTGTTTTGCTTAAGTATTAATGTCATAGTGATTGTCGCATTGAGATATGTCTTGCATCATGCTGTGATTTCCTTTGTTGGACTCAAACAAAACTCCTTCAAGCATGATCCTTTTTTTGTTTGTTTATGGTTTTTTTATGAGTATGTAGCTTGGCATTATAATATATTCCTGCTTTTGTCAAAAGGTTTCAATTTTGTGAAGCAGTGGCCATAACAACATAAGTTTCAGTCAATGCCTTGCGTGAATTGATTGTTAAGTCCTTAGCTTGTCATGAAAGGGTGTTTTGAAGCAGTAATCCGGATGTCCCTTATTGATATTTTGACTCATTGTGATTATATATGAAGAGGGTTGAATTACATGTTAAACTAATAATTTTGTTTAGGGAGTTATTTGCTATAATTTTCTCGTGTATTGACCTTTGTGCCTTTTAAAGCTATTTCTATTAAGTTCCCTAATCTATTTGGTTCCTTTCACTCCTCATTCACGCCCAAATTATGAGTGCTCTTATTTTGAAGATCAAATTTATTTCAATGAGTTTGTAGCTAGGAGTATCCAACAACTGGCTTATTTCGATCCATTAACCCCAGTTATAAATCTTTTCAGCTGAATAAACTTTTATTATCTAAGTTCATATTGTATTCTTTTGTAATCAATAATGTGACCTGTCTTTTCAAACCACTAATCCCTTGACACATCATCTTGGTTTAAAATTCAAATTCCTTCCTCTTTTATTCTTAACTTTCTCATATTTTGACAATGACATGTGTTAGGATATTAGTGGTTTTTCATTTTCTCATTTCTCATTCTAGCAATTCCCTATATATATATATATTCTTCCTTCGTTCTAGTAATATTGCAACAATTGAACTTTTACACTATTCATCATGCTTGTTTGACCACATATTATGATTTTAACTTAAAGTAAAATATAATCATGTGGGGTCTTGTTAGATTCGTCTCGTAAAATACTTTCACAATATTAACTTTTTATAATTTTTACTTTTATATAATTATAGATATTTAGCATATAAAATATGCTTTGGGATGCGTAATTTCATCCTTGTTGCAATATTTGTGGAACAGAGTTAGTATTATGTTTTGTCACCAATCTGTATTTGTTTAATTGAAGGCTGATACTTTTCTGTAAAGTTCCGTGTGTCCTTTCTTTTTACTTCCCTGACGTAGTCCTGATATTTCAGGCTGGGTTGGTTCGTGAGAAAGCTTTTGGTACAACGAAAGATCGAATGCTGTACATTGAACATTGTGCCAATTCAAAGGCTGTGACCATATTTATCCGTGGCGGTAGGTTCATATCTCTGTTTTAAATCTTACTCAGTTCACGTCTGATACAATTTCAATCTCTTATCTACCTAATTAGGCTTGTGTAAGTGCATGTGCATCTACACCATTTAACTGGGTTTTTTCCCTGTTCAAATGAACATTAGCATTTGTGGGGTGTATGCTAATTGATTGTTCAACGTATATAATGCAGGTAACAAAATGATGATTGAAGAGACAAAGAGAAGCATCCACGACGCACTTTGTGTTGCAAGGAACCTAATCCGCAACAATTCTATTGTGTATGGTGGCGGCTCTGCTGAAATTGCTTGTTCTCTTGCTGTAGAGGCAGGTGCTGATCGATTTCCAGGAGTTGAGCAGGTATTAAAATATTACACAGTTTTTCTCTATGAATTTTGAATGTTTCATAACTTTCTTTTTCTAACTGTGTTTTCTTGCATCTGCAGTATGCTATCAGGGCTTTTGCTGAATCTCTTGATGCAGTTCCTATGGCACTCGCTGAAAACAGTGGTCTTCAGCCTATTGAAACACTGTCTGCTGTGAAACATCAGCAAATCAAGGTACTGTGTGGCACTTTGTATCCTCTACTGTTTTAGTTGACGAATTACTTTTATCATGGCTTAAATCTTGACTGTGGATCAAGGCCTTTCTTTTAGAATTGCTTAACCAGGGAGTCTTGCACAGCTGTATTTAAAATAAGAATATCCAATTAGTTACAAAATCACTGCCACAAGGAGTTATGTAGTATATAGTCTATATACCCTGCAATTGCTGATGAGTAAAATCCTGTTTTTTCATTTAAGGTTCCTACTATTAAACTTTCGTTTTTGTAATTCAATGAGCTTATGTAAAAAAGTTGCATTTTTTTTTTTCTTTTTTCTTTTTTAAGGATATCACTTCATTAATTCATCTGGCTAGTGGATAATCTTTCCTGCTGTCAATGTGCTGTGCATCATGTTATGTCTCATATCGGTGTTTATATTTTCACTTTCCTCATGGTAATACTTTGTTTGGATTGATAAAATTGGAGGGAAAGGAAGAGAAGAGAAAAGGGATCCATCCTCCCTTGGGTTTATATAGCATTTGGTAGAAGGGAAGAGAAATGGAAGGAATAGGAGGGAAAATGTAACCTTACCTTCCATTTTACTATCCTAGCAATGTTGGAAAGATTTTACTATCCTAGCAATGTTGGAAAGATTTGGAGGGAAAATGTAACCTTACCTTCTTCACCTTCCTTCCCTTTCCTTCCATTTTACTATCCAAACAAAATGTAAGTATGATTTTCCATGAGATACTTTTACTCTCTTTTAACAAGTTACTAAATGCTTGCTTGTTAGTAAGAAATTGCTGTGATACATGTGTTCTTATGTGAGAATGCTTCTCATGGGTCATTAAATCAGAAAAGCAGGGGTCCGTGGTTTCTCTTAGTAGCCATACAGCCAGTACAGTTATGAGAATATTAGGGTCCTCATGTGGCACCTTATATGCTTCCTCAAAACATTTTTCTAGCTACTATGCTGGTAATAACCTGCTGTAGGAGCAGTTAGATTTTTTTTTTTAAACATGGTTTGGATTTATAGGGAAATGGTGCGGTTTGAATCCTTTGGCGTTTCTTATGGAAAAATATATGCCTGTGTGCCACATTATATTTGCTTTATATTTGAACTTTGTGTTTCATATAATCTGTTGTGGGAAGTGTGAGGAATGTAGGAGGATAACTGCATTTTTTGGAGGGATTAAATTCAAGTTTGATGAACTGAAAGCTTAACTGAGTCCCTGGTATTTCCTTTTGATTTGAGCAGGAGAACATTACTCACTTGGGTATAGATTGCAATGACGTTGGCACAAACGACATGCGTGAGCAGTATGTATTCGAGACCTTGATTGGGAAGCAGCAGCAGATTTTGCTAGCTACCCAGGTTGTGAAGATGATTTTGAAGATAGACGATGTCATTACCCCATCTGAATTTTGATAGTATATGTAATTTAGGTTATGTTGTGTGAGTCCTCCCCTTTATTAAGAGTAGATGTCATTCTATTGGGTCTTTGATGCTTTTGTGGCGTAAAATGGAATGTTTCTCATGACAATGAATTGAAACTCTGTTTGCTCCTAAATTTTGTATGTCGAATCTTTTTCACTGAGTATTCTCAGTTAGACTGTCTTTTCTGATCAATATAGACGTTTGATTTTGTGGTTTATTGTTATATATTCATCTTATAAACCTAATATTTCTGCAAAATATTATGTATTCCGTATTTAATGGAGTTACTACTTAGTGGTAGCTTTGTGAAGCTAGATCTTGGCTTGCTGACATTTCTGTATAATTTTATGTGGATAGGATAAAGCTGTCAGAGTCTGATTTCATAATAAAGGCAGAATGAGCAAGTTTGCTAAATATTTAGGAGCAGACAAAATCTAAGGCATCAAATGTTCATGTGAATTTTATAAGGGATAAAGTTGTGGTTGGAATTTTGTATTGTGATAATTTATGATGGCATTACTGTATATGCTGCATTCCATGTGAGATCTGACCCCATTATTGCATCCCACAAGTTTGAATGTCATGAATTCATGTTTTATAGATAGATCTATAATTCTTTGACTTGTCCTGTTTAAGTTACCTTTGAAATTTTGGTATATCGATTTTTTTTTTTTTTTTTTTTTTTTTTTTTTTTTTTTTTTTAATTTATACGAAGTATGTGGATGAATGAGGCTCCCATTTATTTATTAGGCTCGCCGAAACTATTGTCATAATTCTCTATTCCATACCATTGGACCACTTGTTTAACTAGTTAATTTCAATGTGATATGGTGTCAGTTTTGAATGCCATTGCAATATCTTATAATTTCTAACCTTATATGCATCATCAAATGCTTATATGGGGATGGGGGGAGAACTATTTTCTATAGTTACCTATTCATTTGTTTAAGAATGGGATCATTATGATAGTTCATAGATAGTTGATTGAGACATTGTTTTGTGAGTGTTTATTATTCTTTGTTGATTCGCTTGATCTAGGGATAAAGTTGTATACATCTCATCATCTAATGCTAAATGAATCGTGAACTGCGGATCAAATTTGGAGACAAATTGCAAGGTTAGCAATTACAAAAGCAGTCTTTTGGAAAGTGAAATCACTCTTATAAATTATAAATGACCTTTAACAACACATCTGCTCTTGCTTCTTAAGATTTCTTCAGAAGCAGGCTGAAGTTGTGTTAGTATTTCACCCTTCCCCTTTTAGATAAATACAATTTGGGGAGCCAAGTACAATGGTTATATTGCTCTAGCAGCGAGTGCCTTTCTTGCAGTTCAGTACACCAGCTGACATGGTGATCGATCCTACGAACGAAGAAGGTCTTGCGCTTAAGCTGGAAGCCCTAGCATAGCTTGCGGAAGACCCTGCCCCTGAAGAAGTGAAGAAGGCTCCATTCAACATTAGGTCTCCTTGTGATCTCCAATTCCATTTCTTCCATACACTTTGTGGCCACTCTTCTCGTTTTGTTACCTACAATAATTTTTAACCAAAACTTGCAACCCATTAACTAGTTATAAATATAGATTTTATATCACATTGTATGATATTTAGATAGGAAATTTATTATTGATTCTTTAGCCTTTAAACCGGGCTTTTTTGTATTATTTAAAAATGAACAAATACTTTCTCCAATTCAGTTGTAACAATCTACAAAATATCTTGTTTAAAAATATCAAGTGTTATGTATATAAAAACAATTTCTATCAAAAATTGGTAATTAGGTGTCAAAGTTTGATCTCTATCTCCAAGTAAACACTAGTTCATAAAATTTGGACATACTTATAAAAAACATAAACTTCTAATTTGAGTTTGAGGATAAAAAAATACCTCCTTGTTATTTGGGTCATTAGGAGCAAGGAATCTATTGCCTTGGCTGTTTATTGTAGGTGCTGCACTTCCTCCAATTGCATACATTTCCCAATGTGTATAGTCATTATTCACCACATGAAAATACCCATGTCTACACCTGCCCAAATTTCCCATTTTGCACCAAAAAGTTAGCGTTCACCACATACAACCGTCACATTTTCAGTGTAAACTAAATTAGTAACGTGACAACTGAATCCAAACAACAGACTCTGGAAAAGAGACAACAAAAGAATTTTAGAAGCTTTATACCTCGGCATCCGTTGGACCAACCCTTCACCAAAATGGTTGAAAGCAATAGTAACTTGCATATTCTTATCTCTAGTTAAAGAATCACTATGTCCCAACAACATAACCTTGTTATGGTGGGTCATATAATTGTTAGAGATTGTTATGGCAGTTGAACCATGAATAGCATCAATTAAACCATCAGTACAACTAGAGAGTGAACAATGATCAACCCAAATATGACTCCCACCAAAGATGGACACACCATCACCGTCCGATATCGTCCTCCACCCGTAGTGTGATGGGGAGTCCCGCACCATAGCATTCCCTCCACGCTTACAATCATGTATATTTAAACCATGTATTATAATGTTTGTAACATATTGTATAGTTATGCATGGACCACCAGCAATATGTACATTGGCCCCTCTACCGTCAATTGTCTTAAATGAGTTCATCATTAATTCTTCCTTAAGCTTGATCACCATGTCATGAGCAAATATGATCCATAATGGCTCATCTTGGATGACACCCCACCTTAGGGTTCCGGGTTTAGGATTCACTGGATCGTCGCCTTTGTCCGTGACCACGTACATCTTTCCGTTTTTACCCCCGAGCGCACCTTTACCGAACCCTATGGCACAATCCGCTAGCCGTTGGCGGTTCTTAAACCACTTGTGGTCGCACCGCCAACAATCGTCGATCGGGTTTCCGGTCCCACATGATAGGTATCCCAAATTCCTCCTTGTAGTTGGATTAATAATTTTCCTACAATATTAGTATATAAGAGAAGTGTGTTACATTAGTGTAAACTCATGTACGTATACATTGTAGATTTTTCCCTCAAGAAAAATAAAAAATGTACATTGTAGACGTAACGTTCTATATGCAATTGAACTATTGGTAATTACTTAATTGTATGAAGGTACACTTTTTAAAAAACACTTGCAATTTTTAGAGAGTTTTACTTGCGAGGAAGTTTCTACTTATTTTTTTTGGTGTTAAGAGAGCCACAAGGGCGGGGGTGAAAATTGATCCAAGGATTTTCTGGAATCGGGAAGGAAGATCTAACCACTTGAGTTATCCCTCTAGTGTATACAAAAGTAAAAACTTTCTATGATATGAACCAAACAACTATCAACATAGCTTTCAACTTCTTAAAATAACAACTTTGCACTTATTTTCATATGAACCAAACAACCACGAAGTATGACATTGTATGTAATGTACAAGTTTAATTATAAAATCGAGAAGTTTACGACATACTCTTGTACTTCACGTGCTACTAGTTCAGGATCTTGAACATGGGAGGAATGGATGAAAATGGGGGAAAATAGAGAGGTTAAGAGGAAGAGAAAGAAGAGATGAAATGCCATTTCTTTAGTTTTGTGTGAGTTTTGAACTATGCAAGCAAGGAAGAGTATGTAAAGTGGTATTTATAAAGAGGGTATAGAAATTGGTGAATTTGAGGATACTTGATTGGGTATGCGATTGGGGCCCATGTGCCTTTTTTGGTTGCTAGGATAATAAATTTAGCAGTTTTGGGTTTATGGGCCACCTAGGAGGTTGAACACACCCCAAATTAGCAATGATATGCTTAATTAGCTAATTAACCTTAATACAATGTGGAAATAATGTAGGGTTTTATGAAGTTAGGAAGTTAGTTGCATTGACAATGATGCCAAAGTTCTTACTTTGGAGTTTGGATAGTTTTATGTTCTCATGAATGCATAATAGAAATTAAGCTTATTTGTAATCATTAGTTGCGATCATATATATATATATATATTTCATTATGATACAGACTAAGACCCTGTTCACTTCACCTTAAAAAAAAAAATATTTAGTAAAAATAATTTCAATTCAGCAAAAATAATTTCAATTCACTAAAAATAATTTAAGATTAGCAAACATAATTTATGTTCAGTAAACATAATTTCAGTTCAGCAAAAATAAGATAAAGTGAACGGGGCCTAATATGATTTCCATAAAAATTGAAACAAAAATCAAATGTTTATGAGGTGTTTAAGATTTGTATCTTACTCAATGCTTTTCGAAACAATTCCTCACTTGATTACAAATTAATTTTTCATATAAAATGTTCATATGTTAGTACATGTTACCTGAAATTACTTACCAATGCAATTTGATATTCGGAACTGATTAATTGTATTTCAACGGTCCTTCAAAACAATACCTAAGCTAATATATTGCATAAAAGTAACAAGATGACATGAAGAAAAAATGAAATGGAAATTAAAGAATCTATCCTAGTAATTCAATTACTATAATATTTTATTAGCTAGTTAACGGTTAATGAGTTAGTGGCACAGAAATTGTGCATCAATCAATGAGAAAATAGTAGAAGTGAATATATATTATATGATGAGATGATAATGTATCAACAAAACCAGAAATATTTATATTATGGTTTCACCGACACTATGTAGCCTTTGAGCTTATGTCTGTCCAAATTTTTTTTATATGATAAAATGTCTCATCCTATAATAAATTCTTGTTAGTTATTAATTTTTTTTTTTAAAAAAAAATCCATATATTATTTTTATTCTTCCATGTATTTATGGACCAGGAAAAAAGAGCTACTTGTTAGCTAGGAGTATTTACTTCTAGTCGATCTTCATGTCCACATTATGAAAGTCACGAATGAAAGTTCAAATCTTAAATATTTTAGTATAGCAAAATCTATATATGTTTGTTTTGGACCGTATTAATAGAGTCGAGAATCAAATGATAGTTTAAATTTTGCTCAAATTACCAAACCATACTTAACTCTACTAGTTTAAATAGTCGATTGCTTAAAATAGTTGTTTTAGTTGTTCCTCTCTCTACCTCTCATCCTTCCTACTAGTTTAATTAGCTCAAATTAATATACTTAGTCCTTGTGGTTCGACTCCGAACTTGTCTCTATGCTTGCTTAGTGGTTAGTTAGACATTTATAAATATTGTTTGATATTAAGAGGTTAGTCAATGACCTAACCTCACCTATTTATATGTGAAAGCGTATTTTAACTAATGAATAAGAGTGTTACTATGTTACTCATAAAATTTTTAGAAGACATTTTTTTTTCTTGGCAAAAGTTTTATGAAATAATGCAAATACATAATCTAGAATAAGGGATGGCATGTTCTGTCCATGTGCCCTATGTTCTCCTTTTGGACTTTAGATCTTCACAACAAACAAGATAAATTTAAAGAAAAAAGGTTTTCGATTTTTCAAGATTGTGTTCGATTGGTATAGGGATATACGTTAGTACACTATCTCTAATATCGTTGAAGATGAAGAAAAATAAATGTACTCCGTATATGTATGTGTATCAACTCTCTTGGCTCCATCCTTCCCTTTTTTGTTTGATCCTTTTACCTTTTATTACTCAAAAAATACTAAATTTGCAAGTGAAGACCCGAATAATATTGTCAATGTACAATATAATATGGTCGATATACAGAGTAGTGGGAAAGAGAATAAAAATGATAACAAGGAAAACGTATTATTTTTATTTTATTTTTTTGACGGAAGGAAAACGTATTATTTAAATAAAAAATAGAATAATTAGTATTAGAAAATATAATAATAGAGCAATTTTAAGGACGAAGAGATAATGTACCGACAATCGCTATCACGAAACCACTATTCTAAAAGTGGTGTCTCACTCCACGTCAATGCAGGAGACTCTGGCCAACATTTTATGCAGAATATGCAATATGATGATACAAAAATTATTTAACGGCTTGTTCATAGCTACGGGTGTTCGCGATACGGTTTAGTGCGAGATCCTAAACCGCATCAAATTGCAAAATTGTGATTTATAATTTTTTAAAATCGTACCAAATTGCAATTCTAAAAAAAATCGCACCAAATTGCACCGTAAAATGCGATTTAGTGCGGTGCGGTTAGCGGTTTAACCATACTTTTTAAAATTATAATTATTCTTTTTAAAACAAAACTTTTATTTTATTTTGTAATTATTAATTTATAATTCAAATATTAAACTCTTTTTTTTAACCTTTACTTAACTAATAGTCAAAGATTAGCTCATATATTTTAGTTCTTTTATATTTTTGTAAAATATAAATATAGTATAAAAATCGCAAATCGCATTAAAGTGCGGTTTGGCCTAAATATTTTTTAAAACCGCACCAAACCGCAAACCGCGGTTTGGTCATTTTCAAAAACCGCACCGTAATTTTCAAACCACAAACCACACCAAACCGCAAAATTGCGGTTTGGTGCAGTCTAAACCGCACTCTGTACAGAATAGCATAAATTATGAGTTGTGAGTTGTGGGTAGGGATGACAATATTAAGTGGATATCCTCTAACCCGCTTTAAATAAATGGACGAAAACCCGAATTAAATGGATGAGAAGCGGGTGATGGATGAATTGGGTGATGGATCGGATCAGATGTGGATGATACTTTTTTCACCCGCTAACCATCCACCCACCCGTTTAACATATATTAAATTTTTAATCTAAGAATTTTAATAATAAAATATGAAATGCGTAAGAAAATTACTTGTTTTTTTTTTGTTGCAAATTAATTTTTCAAACAATATGTTGTTATTGTTTCCTTTTCATTAACAAAATAAAAAATTATTGCATAAATAACCAAAAATTAGAGTTTATGTGAGTTTTTTTTTCACTTTAATACTCATCCATTAGTCATCCGCTCCGCCCGTTTCATCCGCGGATGATGGACGGACAGATATGGATGATGGGTGAAGCGGGTGACGGATGGATGTGGATGGAGCGATTAGAATAATGGATGGATGCGGGTGAAGCTCCACCCGATCCGAATCCGATCCATTGTCATCTCTAGTTGTAGGGCAATAAATGAACATAAAATGGGGCTAGTAGCCTGGCAATTAATTGTAATTGAACTTCAATTTTGGTAGTTCTGGTACATTGTAGGGCAAATATACAGGCCCAAAAACACTGTTTATTTAGCTCTGGCTAATAAATTAAATTGTAGGGCCTTTTCCCTACTAGTACTAGGGGATCATTAGCCATTTGGGTTCCTATATTTTTGGGGTTAGTTAGAGGCAAATTTTGGATTTAAACCTATTTATTACTTGTATGTTTTGATGATTGATATTTTTTGATGTTATATTGATAATGGAGTTGTCTATAAAGAGTACTTCAAACTAGCATTAGAGGATCTTAATTAAACCTAGATCTTCAATATTTAAGCTGAATTCAATTTAATTAGGCTAGTTTAGGGGCATGGTTTGTGCCATTCTAGCAGACCATAAATTTAATTGTGTCGTTTAACTTTTTAATTGAGTTTTATTAACATTTTATGTGTAAACGATCATATTAAGTTTGACAATCTCAAAATTCTACTTCTTTGTATTTGAAATCTGAAGGCTTTTTCTATTCAAATATAATAAATATAACCATACATAAGTAAATATATGTATCGTGTGTGTCACATAAAAAGAATGTCATTGGACAATTCAAGAGATCTGAATAATGTCCTATCCACATTTGACATCAACCTTAAAAAAGTTATAAATATTTGGAACTAGTTTAAGACATGGCACGGTTATTACTAAAACTTAATGATATTATTGTAGATGCCGTATGGCTATAATTTAATGATATTATTACTTCTCGTTCAAAAAAAAAAAAGTACAAAAAACACGTAAATATATTTTTACACTTAATAAATAAGTCAATTTGAAAAAAAAATATGTTGATTTAAGAAATTTATATAATGCTAGTATGTGTCATATAACTATTTATTAATGAATTGATTTTATGATTTTTTTAAAGCAAAAAAATAATATATACGAAGTATTATTGTTAAAGTATCTAAGTTAAAAATATTATTTTGTATATTTTAATATGTCAAATAGATGTATATATGGTAACAACAATATTTTTTATGCTTATTAAGTAAGATAATAATTTTTTTTATTATGATGTTATTTTAAAAGAAAATCATGTAATGATATTTTTTATTGATGAGTGGTAAATAAAAAGAATTGAGAATGAAATTAAAAATGTAGGGATGATTATTTTTTAATTATTAAAAAAAGGTTTGGCTCAAAATTTTTGCATATGAAATGACATGTGTTATTTTTTCATATTTTGTGTATGTTTTAATATTATTTTATCATTAAATAATCTATATATGGATATGTTATTTATTTTTATTTTTTTTGTATTTTTGATATAAAAATAATATGAATGGGCAAGAAAAAAACAGAGTCAAAGATTAACAAATCTTTGATAATTCATGTGTCAAAAATATGTGTAGGAAATTTTTTTTATACACACTTAAGATGTTACTATAATGTAATAGAAAATATTCTTGATGCTTGATGTCAATTTAATCCAATAATACATAAAGATGTTTTCTATTCCGTACCATTAATTAAATCTATCTGTTTGACTGAAATATATTAAAAAATCGTTCTAAGCAAATAATATTTATATCAGTACATGTGTCATTTTTAGTGTCTATTTTAGTATTGTATATTGATTGATTGATACTGATGCATAAAATATACATACTCTTTCTATTACACTAGTGACATAAGTAATGGTCCAATTACCATTAGCTTAGTTTACAATGCATCTAAAATCTTTCAAATATAACAAATGTAGAAAGTTAACTCGTCAATTAACTAGGTTAGGTTAGTAAGATGCTAGCAAACGAAGAGAGCAATAACATGGAAATCAGAAGGCTAATTTAGATGAAACACTTAGAATGATGTTCAAACGTACTCTTTTAATTAAAAATAAAGATGATCACTCTTTCAATACTATTCCACATTACATGCATCAATG